ATAAAAATGACTACAATTTTGAATCTTAGGTAAAGATACTAAGGCTTTGCTCCTAAATTATGTTTTACGACATTCCCTTTTTACCAACTATTTAAAAAGACTTTTACCGGATCTTACTTATAAGCAAACGAATTAATACTAAATACAGCTACTACATAATACTTGTATGAATTAAAACTTTAATTAAAACTAAAATAAATAAAATTAGTTTTTTGCTAAAGTTTCAATCTAATAGTTTATATAAAATGTCACAAAAACACATTGTCATTATTAAAATGTTTACGTACATTTTAAAAATTTTACTATTCACAAAATATCAAGTTTAGCATTATATAATATAATATAAATAACTTGTAATTTAAATTAAATTTATTAAATTTAAATAATGAATTTATATTTAATTTATATATTTGTAATCTCATTCTACACTAAAATCAATGCAATTTATATTAATTCAGGTAATAATGTGAATATTGTTGCATATACATTTGATACTCAGCTGGATGACCAGGATCAGTACCACTTATATTGGAACTACGACACCAACTCAGTCACCTTTCGCGTGAAGGCACAGTTAGCCCACAATAATGACTGGTTTGCTATCGGTTTCTCACATGATGGGGGTATAGGTGGCGCCGATATGTGCATCATGTGGGCTGACGCTGAGTCTAATCTAAAATTACAGGTAATGTTAAGTCAATGGGATTTAATTAGTAAGCGTTATATAAATAAATTGTTTTAAATTATTTTCTCCTAAGGAACTACATGTGGACAGTGAGGGCCTGGCTGTGGTGGACCCCACCAACGACTGCCTTCATTTGAATGCCAGTCTAGAGTCAAATCAATTGAGTTTTGGGTTTAGACGTGCGTTCAACACGTGCGACCCATTCGACTATATTATCGAGGTCAGTTTATATTATAGTAGCTTGAAAGAGTTGTATTAATTTAATATTAATAGGTTATCCAATAAAATTCGGGTAAAATTTTTATCTAAATTCAAAAAAGCTTAACTTTTAATTATTTAATTATACTTAATAATTAATGCAAGCATATTAAGTTGTAATTAAATACCTGTCCCTATAGGATGGTACCACTAATATGGTGTACGCGACGGGCAGTGCGCCTAAAAACCATACAATAGATATGAATGATAGTAAACACGGGTCCCGACCCATTAGACTTATGGATATTCCGGATCGTTATGACCCGGATCTAGAAAATGCAAAAATATATGACTTTCTAAAAGTTAACATAACGGTCCCAGAAAGTGACAATTCTTGGTTATGTTCAGTACATTTATTGCCTGATGAGTTTCAAAGCAAACACCATATTATCAAATACGAACCAGTTATACAACCTGGCCATATTGAACTGGTATGATTTGATTTAATCAATATATAACTTAAATAAATATAAATATAAATTATAATTAATTAGGAAAAAACTTTGTTAAACTAGGTACACCACATGAAACTAACTGTTTNAATAAATATAAATATAAATTATAATTAATTAGGAAAAAACTTTGTTAAACTAGGTACACCACATGAAACTAACTGTTTTAAAAGATCCAGTACTTTTAACTGGGATCAAATATGTACCAGTTGTATGCGGAACTAGAAGTCTAAATTACAATGAACAAATTGTAGCCTGGGCAAACGGCTCCAAAGTTAGTAGATATGTTTAGTTTAACATACATTTAAAAATAAATAATTTTATAATTTTAAAAAGCCTTTCGTATACCCGGAAGAGGTAGGCGTTGCAGTGGGCGGTCAAAGTGGTCCCCAATACCTCTTACTTGAAACCCACTACCACAACCTTGCTTATAAACCAGACATACTAGACAGCTCAGGCCTACGTATATACGTAATTAATAAACTACGCAAATACGACGCTGGCCTAGTAAAAATAGGTACAAAAAATTAAATACATTAGACTGTACCAGTTCATATTTTAATTGTCAAAAATTTAAGGCATGAACTCATTTGGTAAATACGTTGACCTCCCGCCCAATCGCCCGGTGGTTGACTTGAGTGTCTACGTGACCCCCGAGTGCTCATCAGTGGCACTGCCCGTCAATGGTATTACAATATTTGCTCAGGAGTTTCATACACATCAAAAACGTACCAGGGTCTGGACCCAACACGTACGTAATGGTACAGAATTGGCCGAGTTTAATCGGGATAATCACTGCAACTACCAGTTCCTAGATATTTGGCTATTAAAACAAAGAGTAACTGTTATGCCTGGAGATGTGCTAGTTCATACCTGTAGTTATGATACTACAAGTATTTGTCCATTCTAGCAGCTTGTTAATTTATAATAATTTCATGAATTTATTTATATAGAAAACCCAGTGGCTCCGGATATTATGTGCAGTACATTTTTCCACTATTACCCGGCTACTAATTTGAAATGGGTGGTCAATGAATTAGGACCTTATATTAGATATTTGGGACAACAATTGGATTATACTGAACAGCAATTAAATGATAATAGACCACCATTTGAGGAAATATGCGATAAATTGTCCGGTGAAAGTTACCCGGTATAAAATTTAACATATTTTAGTATTTTATTAAATGATTCTTACAATTATAATTACTGTAATTGTTGTAAATAACTAATTATTAAAATTAGGGTAATTGGAGTGAAATACCGGTGCCTAAAATACTAGTCCCATTACAACGTGAACGTAAAGTGTATGTTGTTTATGAAAGATACTAGTTATTTTGAGCCAGATAAAATAAATAATTTTTAACATAGGTGTGGCCTCAATTTGACCATAAATAGTGGTTATACAAAACAGTCAGCTGGGTCTGGGATTGTTGGCTATATAAGGGAATATAGGGTACGAAACCCAATAGAGCCCGTGTTAGTAATGATGTTTGGGTCGGTATTGGTGTTTGTATTCTGGTATACATTAAAACAGTGTTTGACTGCCGGCGCCGAAAGCAAGTCTCGCCGCGCGTACGCCTACCGGAAGTTACACCAAAAAAGTGACATAAAGTCCGCGAAACTCGCAAAGTATTCGCTGACAGACGATAAGGAAATTGCTTGAAATAAATACTTGTATTCTGTAAAATTTAATATAATCCAGTTCCGTTTATAATAAAGTTTATTTAATCATACGTGAAATTGTAGGCGAGTTTTAATAAATAAGTAAACTTTTATCAAAACTTTAACTTTAATTGAAAATGTGATACAATTTAAGTGATTTCACATTGAATTCAATTTGTGAGCCGTTATTAGCATCATATCGATTGTCATTACAATCTCTGGCAATGATTGTGACATTCAATTGATTGCTAACAAAGCCATTAAAATACAATTCATTTGTCATAATTTGACGCAAATTATCCGTTATATCAAAACAGTTATAGTGATAATTTCTATTATCACCTTCATTAGCACCTTGCTGATTTAATGGCGAACAGTTGATACCAAGTCTGGCCATTTGTGTAGAAACATAATGTGGCCATTGATTAGTAGGTGGTGACCACTCCGGCAAGTTTACGTATAAATCATAGAAAACATTAGGTGTTTCCGAAAACACTTGCAAATGTATAATAAATCTTAAATCCCGGTGCAAACCAATGGCCAACTCAGTAAACATTTCCATTACATAGGGCTCTAAATCTGAATATAAATTTTAAATAAATATTTTTAAATAAAAACTTTGAATACCTTTAGTAACGGACGGGTTGTTCACAGTAACACCGGTCTCCTTATCGATATCCACATCGATATAAATATGAGGGTATTGTCGAGTGGGCACAACCTGTGGTCCGTCCATAAGCTGATCATAACTATAGAGATGCGAGACATTCAGGAAATCCCGGACCCGAGCTCTGACTGGTTGTCCCCATTCGTCAAAGAATGTGAACGTATGGTCGAGAAAGTGGTTGTCTGTCGGGTTAGGACCTCCCAGTTGTGTCCACGACATCCATATCCTGTCCACCTGGGAGTGGTGTACCATAAATACAGGGTCCAGAGCCGCGGTACAGGCGTCGCTCAATAGACCCCTTTCCCCTCCTACATGCACGTGAACGTTATCGTGCAATGTCTGCGAGAATAAGCCTGGTCACATAAAGTATAACATTGAAACATTTCATGTTGAGAGGGTTGAGCATGTAAATTGTTTTTAATTTATTAAGCTAGGTCAAAATATACAAACTTGTATAAGGGGTCCCAAATATGGGTCTAGACGTACGTACGCCACCAAAGCTAAGGCACGCATGCATTTCATTATCGGCGGGAATGGCGTCAAAATAACGGGCCCGTAATATAGGCCCGGTATCCATTAGTTGCGCTTTTAAAGGCTTTCCATTATTCACTGATTGACATCTGTCCGAAGTGTACAGTGGGTTTACACCGGTATCATAGGGTGTACGAAAAACTTCAGGTAACACCAGATTATGATCACCACTGCTATAATCCCAATAAGGAATAGTGAGGTGCGGGTCGTTAGCCGCGTGTCGGAGTATCCTCTCGTAGAAGTATAGGTACATCCGGTGCCACACAAGGAAATAGGAGTTTAGGTGTGGTGCCTGAGTCCACATGGATATCATAGCCTGGTCCTCAACAGGGTATTTTTGGTTGTCGTTAGGCCAGGCGTGTATGTATGCCTGATATAAATAGCCCGTCCTATCCATTATATCCCGATGTGAACGCTCTTGTAGTACACGAATTGCCCGCTTATATGACTCCCATTCCTGGGCCGACATGTGGTTAACATTTTTACGGACATGTAATTTGTGATCACATTTTACATGAGTTGTAATTATTATTATAACTGTTGTTATTATTAATAAATATTTTAAATCTGAAAAATGGATAGATTAATAAAAGTATAATAATTTTTAAAATAATTACAAATTATTAAACAGTTGTTTCAAAATTGTTTAATACCTGTTATTCTTAAATTACTATTCATAATAATTGAAATAAATTAAATTTTTTATAATAATAGTCTCTAATGAAATAATATGTTTAACAAATAACTTATGACAAATGCATGAGTTACTTATCAATAGTTTGTAATTGAAATATACCACTCTGTGTATGAAGCATATTATTTTTATAATCATTGTTTTATTTTATATGATGAATTTAATTTTTTAAACAACTGACTTGCGTAAAATATTTTTTCAAATTGCATTGTTCTTAAGAAATGTAAATTATATACATTTGGACAATTAATGTTTTTAAGAATTATATATTTAACATAATTTATATACTAATAGATAGTTATTACATAATTATAATTAATTAGAAAGCTTTAGTTTTAGTGCTATATCAAAAATTAAGATTTCAAGTGTCGCACAGTGGGGTAATACGTGGGGTAATAATTATGAGATTAAAGGATTAACTAAAATCAAGTCACAAGTTATATTTTTTTATAAACTTCTTAATCAATCTGTGGCACTTATTATCTCGGTTAATAATTGATAAAATAATGTAAAGTTTTTAGTACAAAAGGTTCTAGGAAAATAAGTATTCTCAATATTTTCAATATAATTTATATTGTGTTATCAGTGGTGTTGAGACAAAATGTATATTGTAGTGTATCATATAACATACTTTTTAGTGCAAGTAGTTGGCGATTATCAAATCAAAGGTCAAAGTAAATCAAATGCCAGATTTATTTTCTTAAGGGTTTCCTAACTCATTTATCACAAATCGTGCTTACTTGTTAGTGTATCAGGGTGATTAATGTTGAATCTGAAATTCTATCCATATAAATATAATTAAACTGTGTTATTTACGGTGTTGTGTAGAAAGTTATGTTGGAGTGGAGTATTGTATGCCGATAATTTAACACTGTATAAATATCTTAATTTTTAATGAATAACATTATTAGAGACAATGTCCACAAATTTTCAATTATTTGCACGGTTTGTGTGGCTCTTAAGAGTGGAGCCCTATATGTTAGTATTCGCCACATTTCAGTACTTCAGGTCTACCCCACTAGAAGTCCTAATTCAGGACAAACTTTGTCGCAATAAGTATAATATGAGTGAAGAGTTTTGCTTAAACTTGCCGTTTATGAAAGACAATGAGCCGGACAGTGACATCAAGTCTAGTATACTAAGTGACGCCGTGTTGTATAACAGCTACCACCAGTGGATAACAATGACCCCGGGCGTTACCTGGGCACTATTTCTGGGCCCATGGATTGATAAGTACGCTCGGGCTCGCAAAATAATTTTCATTGTCAGCTCATTCACGCAAATGCTGGAGTTGGCTATGATGGCGGTCGGCAATTACGTGATCAGAGTATCAATTGAGCAAGATACTTCTGCAAGTAACAGCGGTGGCAATGGTTTGGCCAGTCAAATCTTTGGGAATATGCCCCAGGCACAGGCACAGGGACATCAGTATTAATTAGCATTAATCTCGGTCATCACGATATGAATAAAATAATATTTAGAATTATAAATATATTATTCATTTGTATTAATTAGCTTTTCGTGATACCCTGTATAAGCAATGTTATTTCTAAATAAAGAATTATAACCAAGTTAAATTAATATAAAATTAAATTATTTAATTATTATAAAAATTCAAAAATTTCACTTTAATTTTTATTTTGATAAAAAAATTATCTGATATAGGGTTATAAGTTATAAATTTTAAATCAATTTTATAACAAAACAATATTTTCAGACATTTCAAATTAAAAAGTTTTTAAGTAAATTGTTAAATGTTTTTTCTTGTTGTTTTAAATTTTACTTTAATTGAATTTATTGTCAAATCATTTGGTTTATTTTATAAATTATATTTATATTTTATATTAGCAAATTTTAAGTAAATTTCTTTTGGCTTTTTGTATTAAGTTTTTTATGCATTATATTAATTTAGAAATTATCATACTTAATTATATAATTATATTTGAATTCTTTATTTAATATGAATTTAGAATAAAATTTTGTGAATATAATTATCATATTATTATACCAAATAAACATTATCGACAGATTAATTCTTATTTATAATTAAATTTTGACAACTTCATACATTGTTCATTTTACATAACAGCATTTTTAGTAGTATAACTTATAAGTTATATCCTATAAGTAAGAATCGGTAAAAATCTTTTTAAATAGTGGGTAAAAAGGGAATGTCGTGAAACAATGATTTTGGAGTAAAGCCTTAGTATCTTTACCTAAGATTCAAAATTGTTAGTCATTTTTATCACTAATCTCTTGTAAAATAATTTTTTATGAAAACATATTCATCGATTAATTTGAAAAAGTATATAAAAATTAAATGAATATTTTTAAAACATTCATGCAAAATACTTTTGATTAATACAAATATGACTCAAATTAAAAATAAATTCAATAAATAAATCAGAGTTTAAATAAACACCTTGCTAATACTTAAATTGAATCATATTTATTGTATTTTTTCAAATTAATCGATGAATATGTTTTTATAACAAATTATTTTACAAGAATTATTTTAGTGATAAAAATGACTAACAATTTTGAATCTTAGGTAAAGATACTAAGGCTTTGCTCCAAAATTATGTTTTACGACATTCCCTTTTTACCCACTATTTAAAAAGACTTTTACCGGATCTTACTTATAAGCAAACGAATTAATACTAAATACAGCTACTACATAATACTTGTATGAATTAAAACTTTAATTAAAATTAAAATAAATAAAATTAGTTTTTTGCTAAAGTTTCAATCTAATAGTTGATATAAAATGTCACAAAAACACATTGTCATTATAAAAATGTTTACGTAAATTTTAGAAATTTTACTATTCACAAAACATCAAGTTTAGCATTATATAATATAATATAAGTAACTTGTAATTTAAATTAAATTTATTAAATTTAAATAATGAATTTATATTTAATTTATATATTTATAATCTCATTCTACACTAAAATCAATGCAATTTATATTAATTCAGTTAATAATGGGAATATTGTTGCCTATACATTTGACACCCAACTGGATGACCAGGATCAGTACCACTTATACTGGAACTACAATACCAACTCAGTCACCTTTCGCGTGAAGGCACAGTTAGCCCACAATAATGACTGGTTTGCTATCGGTTTCTCACATGATGGGGGTATAGGTGGCGCCGATATATGCATCATATGGGCTGACGCTGAGTCTAATCTAAAATTACAGGTAATGTTAAGTCAATGGGATTTAATTAGTAAGCGTTATATAAATAAATTATTATAAAATTATTTTTTCCTAAGGAACTACATGTGGACAGTGAGGGCCTGGCTGTGGTGGACCCCACCAACGACTGCCTTCGTTTGAATGCCAGTCTAGAGTCAAATGAATTGAGTTTTGCGTTTAGACGCGCGTTCAACACGTGCGACCCATACGACTATATTATCGAGGTCAGTTTATAGTCGTATGAAAGAGTTTTGTTAATTTATTATTAATAAGTTATCTAATAAAATACTGGTAAAATTTTTATCTGGATTCAAAAAGTTTAAATTTTAATTATTTAATTATACCTAATAATTAATAAAAGCATATTAAGTTGTAATTAAATACCTGTCCCTATAGGATGGGACCACTAATATGGTGTACGCGACGGGCAGTGCGACTAAAAACCATACAATAGATATGAATGATAGTAAACACGGGACCCGACCCATTAGACTTATGGATATTCCGGATCGTTATGACCCGGATCTAGAAAATGCAAAAATATATGACTTTCTAAAAGTTAACATATCGGTCCCAGAAAGTGACAATTCTTGGTTATGTTCAGTACATTTATTGCCTGATGAGTTTCATAGCAAACACCATATTATCAAATACGAACCAGTTATACAGCCTGGCCATATTGAACTGGTATGATTTGATTTAATCAATATATAACTTAAATAAATATAAATATAAATTATAATTAATTAGGAAAAAACTTTGTTAAACTAGGTACACCACATGAAACTAACTGTTTTCCTGGCCATATTGAACTGGTATGATTTGATTTAATCAATATATAACTTAAATAAATATAAATATAAATTATAATTAATTAGGAAAAAACTTTGTTAAACTAGGTACACCACATGAAACTAACTGTTTTAAAAGATCCAGTACTTTTAACTGGGATCAAATATGTACCAGTTGTATGCGGAACTAGAAGTCTAAATTACAATGAACAAATTGTAGCCTGGGCAAACGGCTCCAAAGTTAGTAGATATGCTTAGTTTAGCATACATTTTAAAATAATTAATTTTATAATTTTAAAATGTATTAATTTTAAAAAGCCTTTCGTATACCCGGAAGAGGTAGGCGTTGCAGTGGGCGGTCAAAGTGGTCCCCAATACCTCTTACTTGAAACTCATTACCACAACCTTGCTTATAAACCAGACATACTAGACAGCTCAGGGTTACGTATATACGTAATTAATAAACCACGCAAATACGACGCCGGCCTAGTAAAAATAGGTACAGAAAATTAAATACATTAGACTATGCCAGTTCATATTTTAATTGTAAAATATTTAAGGCATGAACTCATTTGGTAAATACGTTGACCTCCCGCCCAATCGCCCGGTGGTTGACTTGAGTGTCTACGTGACCCCCGAGTGCTCATCGGTGGCACTGCCCGTCAATGGTATTACAATATTTGCTCAGGAGTTTCATACACATCAAAAACGTACCAGGGTCTGGACCCAACACGTACGTAATGGTACAGAATTGGCCGAGTTTAACCGAGATAATCACTGCAACTACCAGTTCCTTGATATTTGGCTATTAAAACAAAGAGTAACTGTTATGCCTGGAGATGTGCTAGTTCATACCTGCAGTTATGATACTACAAGTATTTGTCCATTCTAGCAGCTTGTTAATTTATAATAATTTCATGAATTTATTTATATAGAAAACCCAGTGGCTCCGGATATTATGTGCAGTACATTTTTCCACTATTACCCGGCTACTAATTTGAAATGGGTGGTCAATGAATTAGGGCCTTATATTAGATATTTGGGACAACACTTGGATTATACTGAACAGCAATTAAATGATAATAGACCACCATTTGAGGAAATATGCGATAAATTGTCCGGTGAAAGTTACCCGGTATAGAACTTAACATATTTTAGTGTTTTATCAAATGATTATTACAATTATAATTACTGTAATTGTTGTAAATAACTAATTATTAAAATTAGGGTAATTGGAGTGCAATACCGGTGCCTAAAATACTAGTCCCATTACAACGTGAACGTAAAGTGTATGTTGTTTATGAAAAGATACTAGTTATTTTGAGCCAGATAAAATAAATATTTTTTAACACAGGTGTGGCCTCAATGTGACCATAAATAGTGGTTATACAAAACAGTCAGCTGGGTCTGGGATTGTTGGCTATATAAGGGAATATAGGGTACGAAACCCAATAGAGCCCGTGTTAGTAGTGATGTTTGGGTCGGTATTGGTGTTTGTATTCTGGTATACATTAAAACAATGTCTGACTGCCGGCGCCGATAGTAAGCCTCGCCGCGCGTACGCCTACCGGAAGTTACACCAAAAAAGTGACATAAAGTCCGCAAAACTCGCAAAGTATTCGCTGACAGATGATAAGGAAATTGCTTGAAATAAAAACTTGTATTTTGTAAAATTCAATATAATCCAGTTCCGTTTTTAATAAAGTTTATTTAATCATACGTGAAAATGTAGGCGAGTTTTAATAAACAAGTAAACTTTTATCAAAACATTAACTTTAATTGAAAATGTGATACAATTTAAGTGATTTCACATTTAATACAATTTGTGAGCCGTTATTAGCATCATATCGATTGTCATTACAATCTCTGGCAATGATTGTGACATTCAATTGATTGCTAACAAAGCCATTAAAATACAATTCATTTGTCATAATTTGCTGCAAATTATCCGTTATATCAAAACAGTTATAGTGATAATTTCTATTATCACCATCATTAGCACCTTGCTGATTTAATGGCGAACAGTTGACACCAAGTCTGGCCATTTGTGTAGAAACATAATGTGGCCATTGATTAGTAGGTGGTGACCACTCCGGCAAGTTTACGTATAAATCATAGAAAACATTAGGTGTTTCCGAAAATACTTGCAAATGTATAATAAATCTTAAATCCCGGTGCAAACCAATGGCCAACTCAGTAAACATTTCCATTACATATGGCTCTAATTCTGAATATAATTATTAAATAAATATTTTTAAATAAAAACTTTGAATACCTTTAGTAACAGACGGGTTGTTTACAGTAACAGCGGTTTCCCTATCAATATCCACATCGATATAAATATGAGGGTATTGTCGAGTGGGCACAACCTGTGGTCCGTCCATAAGCTGATCATAACTATAGAGATGCGAGACATTCAGGAAATCCCGGATCCGAGCGCTGACTGGTTGTCCCCATTCGTCAAAGAAAGTGAACGTATGGTCGAGAAAGTGGGTGTCTGTCGGGTTAGGACCTCCCAGTTGTGTCCACGACATCCATATCCTGTCCACCTGGGAGTGGTGTACCATAAATACAGGGTCCAGAGCCGCGGTACAGGCGTCGCTCAATAGACCCCTTTCCCCNGTGGTGTACCATAAATACAGGGTCCAGAGCCGCGGTACAGGCGTCGCTCAATAGACCCCTTTCCCCTCCTACATGCACGTGAACGTTATCGTGCAATGTCTGCGAGAATAAGCCTGGTCACATAAAGTAAAACATTGAAACATTTCATGTTGAGAGGGTTGAGCATGTAAATTGTTTCTAATTTATTAAGCTAGGTCATAATATACAAACTTGTATAAGGGGCCCCAAATACGGGTCTAGACGTACGTACCCCACCAAAGCTAAGGCACGCATGCATTTCATTATCAGCGGGAATGGCGTCAAAATAACGGGCCCGTAATATAGGCCCGGTATCCATTAGTTGCGCCTTTAAAGGCTTTCCATTATTCACTGATTCACATCTGTCCGAAGTGTACAGTGGGTTTACACCGGTATCATAGGGTGTACGAAAAACTTCAGGTAACACCAGATTATGACCGCCACCGCTATAATCCCAATAAGGTATAGTGAGGTGCGGGTCGTTAGCCGCGTGTCGGAGTATCCTCTCGTAGAAGTATAGGTACATCCGGTGCCACACAAGGAAATAGGAGTTTAGGTGTGGTGCCTGAGTCCACATGGATATCATAGCCT